TGCTCTTCTCAGGTTCTGCAGTTTTTCAGACCTTTGGCTGATACCTGGCACCCCCGGTTTGGGAGGAAAGGCAGTGATTTTATTGTTCTCCAAACCCTACAGAGAAGCGAGTGGAAACTGGATTCACTTAAGCTGTAGCCGGTGTGTTGGGATGGGACATTCCCAGCTCTGTTCTGGGAGGCGTGTGATATAATCCAGACATCAGTTACTGGCTCCATATAACCTGAGGCATTCACGCATAAATTCAGCCTGAATGCATAAGCTTATATAAAGAGGATCCTTAAACTATCCTGGCTAAAAATATTTGTAAAATGCTGGGAAACATGGGGGGGTTTTCGGGGGTTTTTTTGGTGCATTAGATTGCTCTCTTCCATCTTACCTCTGTCGCAGGGGTCATTTGCACAGTCTTAGGGACTTCTTTTCCATATGAAATACTGTAATTTCTGTACGTGGGTTAACAAGTATTTTGGGGCTGGAGTTTCACAACTACACGGGCTAAAGAGATTGAAAGTGTTATTTTAGTCTTCTGCTAACCTGTCCAGGTTAGTCTTCTGGCTACTCCCTGCACACTTGGAATCCTTATTTGCCCAAGGAGTGATTGTTCAATTCAATAACTAATGTCTATTATTTATTATTAATTCAAAACATCGTGTGCATGATTTCTTTCCAACGTAAGAGCACATTAGCTTCTCCTGCACAGGAAAACACATGTTAATCTGTTTTCCATTATTGTCCAAAAGATTTTTTCAAAAGGCAATTCGTGTTGCCCCGACAACATTAAAGGCTGTAATTAAAAATAATTTTCCATTAATTTATATACATACACATTTACTTATTATGATCTTTTACTACATTTCCCTAAGTGTGCATGCAGAAACCTAAAATGCTGTTGAACAGTAAGTCAATATTCAGTGTAATGATCCAGTGTCGAGTGTGCCAGTACCCTGATGTACTTCAATTAACCATCGTTCCCAGAAAACACCTGCATAGAAGAATGGGTCTTCTGTGGGATCAGCAGAAAAACAAACCCTGACTTTTCTGCATCGGCAGAGGAAGGGAATTCCAGTATTTCACAGCTTTTACTGATAATGATCTGCTACAGATTAAAAACAAAAAACAGACATTATGGTGTTGGCAGATTGCAAAAGAACTTGCTGGTTAAAGCTGCTGTTCATAGGAGATGAGGATAGTGTTTATTGCTTCCATATGGTCCAGAGATATAAGACAGGCAAAATGTCTGGGGAGAAGTAATACGTCTTATTATATTGATACAGAACATACTTTGAGGTCTGTAGGCCCTTTTCCGGGTACCTTTCACAGGTGAGAGCACAAGTGTGAAATATTTGCCCATGATTCAGCATGGTGATAAAAAAAGATTGCTTAAGGATTGGATCCATTTGTGTGAGTGAAGTCTCAGAAATGCTGGGGTTTTTAAAGGGTCAGGGCTGGTAGCTGCCACCTAACACACGTGTGTGAAGGATCTGGTTTTCCTTGACTGTATAGTTTTCAACCCTTTGATTTTCCTGTTCAGCTTTGCAAAATACATTAAGACCCTAAGTCTAAATTTAGAGTTTCATAAATTTGTGTCAAAAAACTCGTTTCTACATAATGTAAAATTAAATTTCTTGGTCTCTTTGACCTCGTGATATATTTTTTTTTAGCCAAATTTAGAACCAAACTGCTAGGCACACTGAAACAGAAGAGTTCCAGGCTACTCTCGTGTACACGTGTACAAGTAGTTGACTGAAGAACCATAGTCTTCGACTTCTCCATAATTATCATTTGTGAAGCACCTTTACATGCAGGAAAGATGCTGCTGCCCTTCTGCAGAAGGTTGGGGAGTGAGATCTTCAAAAATCTAATGAACATGCTCAGATATCGATACACTTATTTCGCTGCAAAAATACATAACAGGCAAAAGAACTGGAGACTTGCAAACCAGCGCTGAAAGCCAAGAGGATTTCACCAGTCAAAAGATTAGCTGATCAGTCTGTGTCCTTTTAAAAAAATGCTGAAAATTGGTATTTTTGTTATGAATGTTGCGATTGCACTGTGCATGAACTCATATAGCAGGCATTCTTCATGTGATAACGGTACTTCTGCTCTCTTGTTCTCCCAGGGCTGATGAAATCGAGATGATCATGACAGACCTTGAAAGAGCAAATCAGGTATGATTTTTAAATGAGTCCCTCATAAAATTCTAAGTGTGACTTTGATTTTTTTTTCCCCCCCCTTCTCTTTTGGATTTCATGACAGTCCTTTTATATGCACTTAACAGTCATAACTGTGTAGAGTAAGAAAATATGCGAATTTAGAGATAAATACAGCTCTTTAGGGATACTCTGTAAGGATTGTATGCACAGTAAAGTAGTGCTTGCCATATATTTACCTTCTAATAATTTAAACTTAAGTTTCCCACTATAGTTATTCTTGGGTTTGTGTTTCTAAATCCATCGTGTTGGCCCCTACTTGGACATGCAGGTAACTGGTTTACCCAAATGAAAGGGCCTCACCAGTCAACAGATTAGCTGATCAGTCTGTGTCCTTTTAAAAAAATACCGAAAAATGGTATCTTTGTTATGAATGTTGCAATTGCACTGTGCATGAACTCATACAGCAGGCTGCAGCGCAGGGCAGCCTGACCTAGGGAGGCCTGACCTGCTGCTGCAGCTCCAGCTTTTGTGGACTTCTTGGGACTTTTCTTTTTCCTTCCTTTTCTGATATGTTTTATTAGCATATTAATTTTTAGCGAGGGTTGGATCAGACTATGCCATGCAGGAGAAAAAGAAATTGTAATTTGTTCCTGCAGATGCTGATTTGGTAGACTGCAAAATGTCTCTCACGCATTCCCTCACAGTGCACACTCTTCCAGAAAGTGGCACAATTGTACGGAGCTTTTTAAAATAAAAAGTTTCAAAAAAGCCCAAACCTAGCACCCAAGCAAAGTGCCCTTCTGGTCCATTCTGCACTTTGAGTGACTGAGGTGATGAAAGAGATGTGTATGGACATGCAGGATTCACAGGTGATAGGTGCCACAGGTGATGGTTTCACTGAGGGAAACCTCAACCAGCCATTTGCTTATCGGTGAGCTTCATTAATCCCTCTGTTGGGTAAGATCAGAGATTACAGATGTTAACTCTCTCAGGTTATGGTTTTATAATCCTGTTGAAGTTTATCTAAGAACAACTCGCTCCCAGGAAGAACCGTGGCACCTCCTTCCCCACCATGGGGTCCTGCTGCACGCCTCGTGCTTGCAGGAGTGGTTGTGGAGCCACACCATGAGCCAGACCAGGTCCCTGATCCTGTTAAAATTCACTCCCCCTCCAGCTGCTGTTCTGTTTTGCCTTTGTCCTTTGGTTAGATCAGCTTTCAGCCCGCACACTCCCCTGGTGCAAGCTGACAAGTATAGCAAGTATGTCATCCTTTACATTAGTTCTTCATGAACTAGAAAAATACTCACGAAGCAGAAGGCAGATTTGGAAGTTGTTGCATTGATTATTTAGTCAGTACAAGAAAATCAGGCTTTGCATAGTGGGTTTTTAGTTCTGTCAAACAACTTTTGTAGACAGCATTAAATATTTATGAAAGTGCTAGTAATTATTTGAAAATATTTGAAAAATTTGACTTTTTAGAAATTATGTAGATGCTAAAGATATTTTGGTAGAATTGTTTCATGATTTTTGCAAAGGCAGTATTTGCAAAGTTGTAGCAGTGGTTTACCCAGGAGGTTTTTTCTTTTCTCAGAGTGGAAAGGTGGTTGTAGTTAAGGAACAGGTATTTCTGATTTCCTTGTTGCCATACTAAAATGGAGTGTATCTGTTTATACAGAAACACTAAAGACATTTCCTATCTAACTGGAACAAACCTGCAATGTCAGGATTTTTTTTTATTTTATTGGGGTTTTTTTAAATTAGTCAACATTTATAACTGCTTATGTGTATATCCCTTAGTTGGGTTATAATTCAGCAAATTCTGAATCTGTATGTAAACATGAGTGGGCAATTCATCTGAGCTGTTGTAAAGCCAGAAGAGGTGATTCTGTCTCCCCTTTCCCCCTGTCCCCCTCCTCTGCTTCCCCCTCCTGGCTGTTGCGGTCCTGTCCCTTCCCTAATAGCAGCTTTTGCAGTTGGGGGACCCTTCATTGGGTCCATTGAGCTCAGTAACTGCAGAAAAGCCTGAATTTGGGGGGAAGGGAAAGGGGCCAGGTTTGGTTTCTGTGGGTTTAGCAAATTGAGGCAGCTCGACAAAACATCAGAGAAGCAGCAGCGCTGAGATGAGGGATGCGAGGGGAGCGTGTGGCCTCGGAGGAGACGGGGAAGGAAAAGTTCACTGGTGGAGGAGCAGGAGCAGTGACCTACTGGTTTGCCGAAACATGCCCAGAGTCCTTGTCTTGTGTGATGCTTTACCTTTATAAAACACTTCTGTAAATTATAACTAAGTAATCTTTGTAGCAGCAATTCCTGTGTTTTACCTCTTCATAGTTGGGTAAAAAAAAATGGAAGAAATTAAATCCATTGCACAGGCCAGAAAGTGAGTTTGCATCAGGCTGAAGTGTTACAATTGCAGAAACAAGTACTTAACATAATTATGTATTTAATAGTTAAATTAACATTTCCTTTTACCATTTCAGTAAGTACTTATTCCCCATTATTAAGGCTACCTTTAAAGAGTAGTGCTCAGCATGACTCCTGCTTTGAGGATAGACTGCCTTGCTGATTTTGATGTGATGTTTTGCTGCTCTGGAATTAACACTGACCCAAATGACTGGGATTTGGAGCAGGAATTTACAGAATAGCAAAATGTTTCCACTGAAAATGTGAAAAATATTTGCTGTAGATTTTTAAATACCTGATATTTCTTCAAAATCCCTTTCTCAGTTACTGCCCTTGTTAAATCCGGAGCTGGCATTTCTGAACTCCCCTTGCTTGTCCACACCTAGGTGAGGACACCTCTCTGACTCCTAAGAGGTGGGAAGTGCCATTTCCCTCTCCAGTTCTGCAGTAACAAGAGGGTGGATGTACTCATTGACATTGATCCAGGTGTCCATATTCTAGGTGATGAAAGCCATGGGGACAGAGCTGATGTTCTAACTCCTGCCCTTGTGTCCTGTTGGTTGAAGCATGGACCATTCTTCTTAGTCTTCAGACTCCATCACCACTGTTTTTTCCTCATTTGGATCCTCAAATTGTTTCATGCAGGAGCTTTCTAGGCTTGTTTGTGTGCTATCATCCCCAGAAGAAATTCCTAGCTCATAAAAATAATTACCTTTAAATACCAGTGAGCTTTGCAATTTTCTGCTTAGAAAGAAAAAGGGGTAGTGACCGCAAAGCTCCATTTCTCTCCATTGTGTCATTAACTCAAGGTATAAACTGAATTTTGCTCCAAACCTTAACCCTAACCAAGGAGAGAAATGAATCCCTCACTTGAGGGGAGCAAGCTGGAGTGGAGGGGTTTGGAGGCGGGTGCTGGACGTAGCAGCGTGGTGGCAGCAGGCTGCTGGGATGACAGTCTTTTCTCAGCTGCTAATCCAGGCACTCAGCATGGTTAATCCAAGAGCTTGAGTGGGGTTTTGCAGCAGGGCTGGTCTCATCCAGACTGACAAAGCTCAAACAGAGTAATTTAAGTACACCGATTTACACCCTCTGTAAGGGTGAGGCAGGTCTTGGCTAGGAGGTGGGTGTCAGTGGTGGCCTGTGGAGCCACCCTGCCACTTCAAATCTTGAGAGGTATAAACCAGCACAGAAAGGAGAAGAACAGGACATCAAAACGGTTGGTCTACTGACACCTGCCCCAGGAGGAGCTCTTAGCTCCACGATGTGGAGCTTCAGCAGGGGGGTGAAGCCTGAAGCCCATGGCCCCCGCTTGCTTTAGCAGTCAGATGCGACTGCATTGCCCAAGAGGCAGCAAGGGGGTCTGTTACCCCTCGCTGCTTTTCTCCTCATCCCAAGACTGTATGGCTTGCATGGCTTGGGTACGTAAAGGGCTGAAGTCAAAATATATCTAAATGCAATAGGAATTGCTTATTTTCACTTTACTAATCCTCTGGCTCGATAACAAAAATAACCCAAGAGTTCACCCTCGCATTTCCATGAAGATTTAATAATCCTGTAGTTTGGGGAAGGGACTCGTTTTATTAAGATTTCATTTTGCACAATAAATCACAGCATATTTTCTGATACGCTACGAAGTATAATAATAAATAATTAAAACTAAACTACCCTTACTTGTCAAAATAAATGATTTATCATAGTTCAGGATATAGCATCTTTGAATTTTTTATTGTTTGATTCCCAGAATATTATAATTTCCAATCAGTGAAGTTAATGAAGCTCCAGTGTGCTTTTCTGCATTTGCAACAGTTACAGTTGTGTGAATGTGTATTTTACACAAATATTTGTGGTTAGGACTTTTCTGTACCATTCCAAGTTTACACCTTTCTCATAAGTGTTTATGGCAGTAAGTCACAAAGCTTTGGGATGACAAATTTATCCAAATGAATTATCCTTCTGTTTCTATACTTCATCTAGCAACCTGGAGTCACTGAGCTGTGCCTGAGGAAAACTGAGGTTTCTGTTGAAAACAGTAATTCCTGTTTTGTGAAAACAGAAACACTTTGGAGTGTTAAATTTAAAAAAAAAAAAAAAAAAGAAAAAAAAGAGAGGCTCATTTTAAGGTTTTAATACTGGGTCTAAGTTTGTGGTTTCATTGAGGTATCCAGGTCTGTTTGCTGGCTTTATACATTCAGTTCACATTGTTTAAAAAAAACCAAGGAAGTTTAATGGGCTTCGTAATTTGGGCTTCCTGAAAAAAAAAGTGCTTCTTCACTTTTAAAAGAAAAAGAGAAGGACTTCGTTAGGGTTGGTTGATCCTGGATTATTGTATTTTAATCTTGAGGAGGAGAAAATAGATTTGAAAAACAGACTCGGATACAGGTATCCTTAGGTTTTGGGAGTAATAACAGAAAGAGAACATGGGACCTTTTTTTTTTTTTTTTTTTTTTTGTGGACTTTAATGAGAAAGCTATAGAAAAAGAATGAATCTTTTTCCACACAGAGTGTCTATGCCATGTTATCCCTTGGGAAAACAAAAATGTTTTCTTTACATCTTCACAGTGCTGATAGTGCTCCTAGATTTCTTCTACTTATTTTTTCTGAGGAAAGAAAGTAAA